TTTTAAATATATTTTTATTAATTTCAGAGAGGAAGGGAGAGGGAGAGAGAAATATCAATGATGAGAGAATCATTGATTGGCTGCCTCCTGCATGCCCGACACTGGGAATTGAGCTGCAACTGGGCATGTGCCCTGACTGGGAATCAAACCTCCTAGTACATAGGTTGATGCTCAACCAACTGAGCCAAGCTGGGCAAGCTGAAAATCGGTCTTTTTTAAAAAAAAAGAAAAACCCTTTTTAGTTCACTGTACTTTCCTATTGTCCTAAAAAAAACTTAATTTTTTATTCATTGCTCCTAACAAAAAATTTGTCCCCCTCTGTGCTACAATAGATCCCATCTACAGCTGAATTCAATTGCACACAGAAAACAATATAAATATTCTAACACATCTCTTTCACCTACACATAAGAATAAAACTCCACATGATTAGCCGTAGCCAGTTTGGCTCAGTGGTAGAGCGCCGGTCTGAGGACTGAAAGGTCCCAGGATCGATTCCGGTTTAGGACATGTACATTGGTTGGGAGCACAACCCCGATAGTGGGTGTGCAGGAGGTAGCTGGTCAATGTTTCTCTCTCACTGACATTTCTAGCTTTCTATCCTTCTCCCTTCCTCTCTGTGGAAAATCAAAATATATTTAAAAAACAAACAAACAACAAAAAAAAACTCCACATGATTAAATGTTGGTCAAAGCCTATCTGATGGGAGAAAAGAATCACTGAAAAGCCTCTTTCCTCTCCTGGACTCCCACAACTTGTTCTTCACTTCCTTCTATACCCCAAGTCACCTTCCTCAATGATGGGTTATAAATGTTACTAAAGACACATGAAGTCAGGGGTAATTGCTCAACATATGTTAAAATACCTAATTAAGTACCATTTTCAGTATCAATTTAACCATCTTTTGATGTTGCACCTTTGTCTCTTCAAATCCACCTTTCTGTATTAAGTCGTTTGAATTTTACCAACTTTACTACTTATGAAATAATGTCACATATTATGTCTCTTCCATCCTTCAATCAAAGCGTACCTTCTTCCAAATTTCTTATCCTCAAGAATATAAAAACCAGTAGAAAATATAAAAGTATAAACCTGGCAATGCTTTGTGGTGGTGACTGGTTAAAGAAGTCAAATGAAAGCAAACTAAGCATATTAGTGCTAATTGCTAAAAAATGTGGCAGTGAGTCATGAATGAGAGGGATTCTGACCAACCAACTTCAAATCTTAGGAATAGGTGGACGGACTACAGAAGTTTCAGGGTCACAGAGAGCCACAGTTCTTAAAACAGGGTTGAGAAAACCATTTTGGAGACTGGTGTAAATGGTAAAGAACATTATGAAACCAAACTGCCTGCGTTCAAATCCCAGCTTTTGTCCCATATTAGCCAAGTACTCTAAGCAAGTTTCTTGATCTCTACGCACTTGGATTTTCTCACCTGAAATATGGAAACTAATGACACCTATCTCACAGGACCTGTGTTAGGATTATAGGAGGTAAAATACTTATGACAGAGCAGCGCGGAGGGGCCACCAGGAGGGCGGGGTGGTGGCCAGGCAGTGCCCCTGCGTGGAGCCAACGGCAGCCCAACCGCCTGGAGCGCGGCCCCGGGGCTGAGGGGACAACGATGTGGGCGCCACCCGCAGGGGCCGGGGCCTGGGCCGGGGCCTGGGCCGGGGCCTGGGCCGGGGCCTGGAGGGACACTGCCATCAGGGCCCGCAGGCGCTGTCTGTGGGCGGTGCTGGCGGTGCTGGCGGCCGCACTCGGGCTGTTGACTGCTGGAGTATCAGCCTTGGAGGTTATCACCCCAAAAGAAATATACGTGGTCTATGGGACACAAGGGGTGCTGTCCTGCAAGTTCAAGTCTAATATCATCACCAGCTCGGCGACCACAGTCTCCTGGAGCTTCCGGCCAGGGGAAATCCACACCACCGTGTCCTTTTTCTACTTCGTGGACGGGCAAGTGTTCCTCGGGGATTTCCCGCTATTCAAGAACAGGGTCATCTGGGCTGGAGACCTCCACAAGAAAGATGCATCCATCAAAATACAAAATATGCAGTATGACCATAACGGCACCTACATCTGTGATGTCAAAAACCCTCCCGACATCGTCTCCGAACCCGGATACATTGTCCTCTATGTTGTAGAGAAAGAGTTGCCCGCGCCGCCCCCGACTCCGCGGCCCCGGACACCGCTGCCCCCGCCTCCTCAGCCCCGGCCTCCGCCGTCCAGGCCTCAACCGCCCCGGCCTCCGCAGCCCGAGCCTCAGCCCCGGACTCCGCGGCCCAGGCCTCCGCAGCAAGCCGGGACTCCACTTTGGCTGGTGCTGGGTATAGTGTCCGCTGTGATTCTGGGTCTCATCTTCCTCGTCCTCTTCATCATCCTGGTTCTAGGAAAGAAACCCTGGTAGCCGAATAACACTGGGGCCCAGTCATATATGCGCAGTGAGACCACTCCGGCGGACAGCACAGTGACAAGATGAACAAGTTAGAGTCTGTGGTGTGCGCGGACATCCGGAAAAACTAAGAGAAGACCCAGATCATATCCTAAGTGAGAAACAAATTAAAACGTGCTCTGTGCAGCAGTGTAGCCCACAGCATGTGTAACCGGACACGGGCAGGCGTGGAGCGAAGGAGATGTAAGGGATATGTATAAATCTTCTCATTAACCTTCGGATGGGAGGAGCAATGGTGCATGATGAAAAGATATGGTTCTACATATATGTAAATTGTCTCACTGTTGTAAAAAAAACATCCAGGGTCATTTACAGTTGGGGAAATTCAGCAACATTCCTGTCACCATCATTTGGATATGGTGTTCCTTAATAGTGATGTAGCAATCTCTTAGTATCCCAACAGACTTGGCCTTTCTGTCTAAGCATTTATTGTATATAGTTGGAGAATGAAGATACTGTGCGGGAGAAATAGCCAGGGTGGCCTGTCCCACACTGTCTGTTCTGACTGTTGGGTTGCAGTTTTTAGGAAACACCCGTTAGAGATGTCACTTGGAAACAATTTGAGAAATTTTTGTCCTGCTTTTCTTCCTCTCTAAAGCAAGGGTGGGGAACTTTTTTTCTGTCAAGTGCTTACTTGGATATTTATAGTATCATTCTACAGCCAGACAAATTATCAAGTTAAAAATCAGTCCGCTGTATTTGGTCAAACATTTAATTAACTCACCCTGACGCCTTTTGCAAGCCTTATACAGCCCTTGGGTCAAAGGTTCACCACCCATGCTCTAAAGCAAAGGGCATTTTAGCTTCCTAAGTTGTCACGGGGACTTTGAGGTTACACCCTTTTCTGTCAGCTTGTTCATCACAGCAAGGTCAGCAGGGATAGCTGTAGGGCCAGTCTTCCTTGGTCTCTCAGACCAGAGCCCTGTACATGGAACTGAAATAGGAGCCGCAGCCTGGGGAGGAGCTGGTGGCCTGGGGAGGAGCTGGCTGCCTGGGGAGAAGAGCACAGGTGTGCTACTTTCTTTGCTGTTGGAAAGGAGAAGCTGCAGGGGAGGAGTTCACTTTCTTCCAGGGGGGCAGGAATGGGGAACATGGAACCTCCATTCCTACACTTAATTCGTCCCAGAAGGGTGTTTGAAACCAGAATCATCTTTTCCCATCAGAAATCATGTAAACTGAATAGTCCACTCCAGACCCCCAAATGATCCCTGTTTTAAGCATTCTTATATACAGTACATGTCTGGTGCACTGTTTAATTTAAACGAACACTTTTGAACAAAAATATATATATATATATATTGGACAATGCCTGACAAAGAGTAAATGCATTATAAGTATGTATTAGCCATTATTATCATTATTGTTCCTCCCTCTGGAACTTATGAATTGGACATAATGTAAATGCAAGCTGGAAGCTTTGTAAATATTCAAGAAAGTACTCTGACATTAGAAATGACAGAATTCTTAAATGGAATATAAGAAATAACCCATGAAGCAAACCAGAAAAAAAACAATTTTAAGAAGACAAAGGGTAACAGAAGTCAACTAGTTACCAGATGAAAGAGGGTGACATGGACATACATATTGTTAGGTCCAGGACAAAAAGAATTTACAGACACTAAGGAGTCATGTTGAATTTAAACCTGGACAGGAAGAAATGGAAGTATCGTGATGAGGAGGAGGATGATGACACTGAAAGTAGCTAATCACATCTAATACCAATTAAGTATCTACTATACTCCTGACTCTATGTTGGAACTGAACTTGCATTAAATGGCACAACCCCATGAGGTACATACTATTAGGAAGTAGAGATATGAACAAGTCAAGAAACTTACATAAGGTCACACAGCTAGTACAAACTAAAGGACTCAAACCGTGTATTTCTCTATGACTGCAAGGCCCATTCTCTTAAGCTACAGTATAATCCACACCTACGATGGATCCTAGGGTCACTTTATAGTTTTAGCAAAACTCAATACAATGTTTCTGAAGGCACTTTATTAACTGAATTAACTCGATGCACTCAAATCCCTTGGAGTGCGTCCATTCAGAAGCAGACTGAGAACTAACATGGTACTAAGCTTAGAGCTAGGGATAAAATACAGAAGTAAGATTCAATCTATGTCCTTGGTAAGTGGCATCTACTATATACATTAGCAGAAATCAAGCTATATTAAAATAATACAAACCTGAATAGCTCTGTGTTTCAGCTGTTTGCAGAAAGCCCTCACATCAAATTCTGATGACTCTGCTGTGGAGATGGAAAGATCAAATACAAAAACTTAGGCATACCATTTTCAAATCAACAAATTCTTAAGTGCATGATGATATTTCTTGCCAAATTATTTAAAAAAGTAGAGGAAGCAAGCAAAGAACTATGAGACAATAGGAACAAACAACTTTAAATGTTCAAACTTAGAAAACACATGTATTAATTACCATACCTCTTTGAAGACAATGTGTGTTAAAAATAAAAGGTATGGGATTACTTCTATGCTACCCATGAGTATATTGTAACTTCAACTTTTTTTTAAGTATGTGCTATATCAAAGCATATTATCTTTGAAGATTTTCTTATTCTTTACTGGCTCTCCAAGATCCACATTATTCTGTACATTGATCTTCATTTGATTAGCTTTATTGGAACTCCTATGTGAAGTTTCTTCACTGCACCTCAGTGATCGTTCTTTTGTTGAGAACAGTTTATTTAGCAATTTAGTTACTCCCTTAGCTGCAAAAGCTGTAGGCATTTTTTTCTTAAAGACCTCTAAATAAGACTGTCCTAAAAATTCAACAATATCAGAAGGAAAGGTAAAATCTTTGAAGTAAGGCAATGGGTGAATCCTTGAGACCTCCTGAAGCAATCCAAACAATGGCTCATATAAAGAAATCAGCCTTTTTAAAACACCTTTATAGAGAACCCTAGAGAAAGAAATAGATCATAAATGAACCAGTAACTACAATTTGCAGATTACATAATTACCACAATTCAAAGCTGAAAATAAATGCCTATCAACTTACCACTAAAGATAAAAAACCCTATCGCACATATTTGCAAATAGTCAGATTAATCTAGCCTTAATAAAAAAACCCCAAGCACAAAATGTTACTTAAGCCTTAGTTGGTTTGGCTCAGTGGTTTGAGAGTTGGCCTGCAGACTGAAGGGTATCAGGTTCGATTCCAGTCAGAGTCACATGCCCAGGTTGCAGGCTTGATCCCCAGTAGGGAGTGTTCAGGGGGGCAGCCAATTCATGATTCTCAATATTGATGTGTCTCTCCCTCTCTGAAATCAGTAAAAATATATTTAAAATATCAGTTATTTAAAACACACACATAGCCAAAAGCGGTTTGGCTCAGTGGATAGAGTGTGGGCCTGCAGACTGGAAGGTCCCGGGATCGATTCCAGTCAAGGGCATATACCTTGGTTGTGGGAACATCCCCGGTAGGGGTGTGCAGGCCGCAGCTGGTCGATGTTTCTCTCTCATGGATGTTTCTAATTCTCTATCCTTCTCTTTTCCTCTCTGTAAAAAATCAATAAAATATATATTTTTTAAAATAAATAAATAAATAAATAAATAAATAAATAAATAAATAAATAAATACATAAAACACAACAAAATGTTACTTAAAACTAAATGAAGCCCTAACCGGTTTGGCTCAGAAGCTAGAGCATCAGCCTGCGGATTGAAGGGTCCAAGGTTCAATTCTGGTCAAGGGCATGTATCTTGGTTGCGGGCATATCCCCAGTAAGGGGTGTTCAGGAGGCAGCTGATCAATGTTCTCTCCCATCGATGTTTCTAATTCTCTCTCTCCCTTCCTCTCTCTAAAAAATCAATAAGATATATATATGTATATATGTATATATATATTTTTTTTTTAAGAAAACTAAATGAAAAAGCTGTCTCAAAGGATATGCACCAAAATCCTCAGTTTGGTTTTATCTAGTTGTTGAGATGTTAGGTAAATTTCAGGTTTTTTACATTTTTTCCTGAATTTTAAAATTTCTTGAAATAAGCATGTTTTATTATAATCACAAGAGCTTAGTTATTTTCATTATAGACAAGAATGATTGTTTAACATTATAATAATACAATTAGTAATTTTAACATTGTTACCTCTAAGAATAAGTACAATTAAAGAATGACTGGAAACAGTGGTTAAGATAGCAAAGCAAGGTTTTTAATCTCCAGAGACAATTTTTTTTCTTAGTTTTAATTTAAATTAGAGATAACCATCCCAATTGTCTAAAATGACCCAAATCTAGTTCCTTTACAAATATGTGCAGATTTCAAGTCCAATTGTCCATCAAGTAAGCTCCATCCTATATAATAAAAGGCTAACATGCAAATCCACCAAACAGTGGAACCATCAGTCACTATAACATGCACTGATCACCAAGGAACAGACACTCAACTCAGGAGCTGCCCCATGGTGGTCAGTGCGCTCCCACAAGGGGGTGCACCGCTCAACCAGAAGACAGGCTCACAGAGCCTCTCCCACCTCTGCCACAGCCCTAAGGATGTCCATCTACCAGCTTAGGCCCGCTCCCTACTAACCCATCAGTGGGACATCCTCCGAGGGTTCCTGGACTGGGAGAGGGTGCAGGCCAGGCTGAGGGACCCCCTACTTACCAAGTGCACAAATTTTGTGCACTGGGCCTCTAGTAATATATAGAAATGCAATGCAAAGTCTCATTACCTTTCCGCTACTTCCAGTGTTCTTATATCAACTAACTGTATTTCAAAAAGCAGTAGTGTTTCAGGTGGAGAAAAAGAATCTGGAGCTCATAAGGAAGATCATGCCATTAAGAATTATAAATCTAGAGGCAAAAAGAATTGATTGATACAGCCTGCCCAGAAAGACCTTCACTTTAAATGGGCCAGTTGCTGTATGATTACAGCAATGATTTTTTTAAAATTATTATTCTAATGGTTAATCCTAGGATTTCATTTGCTTAATTGTTTAGTGTTGAGGTGGTCTCTTGCCTTCAGATTTAAAGCCTAATCTTTTGACATAAAACACTTAGCTTCCAAATCCACCCCACATAAACTCTGATCAAACGAAACAAAACTCCCACAAGTTCAACATCCCCTGGGAAAATAAATATGAAAACCAGTCAGAAACCTGGCTGAGTTAAAGAGATGAAAAAGAAATTATTTCACAGGCGTGTACATACATACCATAACCTGCTCACCAGCCTAACCATCACAAGGTTTAACACAATGAATTCTTGCAAACCTAGGTGTTTCACAGTCAAACTGAAGAATTAAGTTAAAGTTGGAAAACAGAACCAAAGTAATTTGGATTTTGTAAGTTATGTTTATGAAGGAATTAGATTGGAAATAAAAGTTTTTTGAGGAATTAAAGCCTTAAAACATGTTCTACATGTTCTATTTAACTCGTGGAAACTTAAAACACAGTTTTATATGCTCTGTTAGAGCTCTCATTATTAAAATAAGTTCCTAAGGTTTAGTTTCTAAAATTAAGAATTTCTGTCAATGTCCTAAGGATAATACATATCATATGAGAGAGAGATAGGCAGTCTCTGGCAATGGTAGTATGAAGCAATTCCTGGGAAAAGGAGGCCACGAAGCAAATTTATAAGAATTCCATAGGTTATAACTCCTATAGACCTACAGACCCCCTAGCTTTCAAACAGAAATACTACTAAACTTATTCAAACAATTCCAACTGAGAATCAGGTATTTCACTTGCTTCAAGGATACAGAAATGACTTACAGCAACGGTCTAACAAGCAAAGTAACAATTTGCAGGCTCCCAAAATCTTCATCAACACAAATTCCACCACTGGTTGGCTGGGGATGATACAAGCTTTGGTAGCTATAAGCTATAATCTTCCATCTCCAAATCTTAAATTTAATATCTACAAAATCTGATTAGCAATGTAAAGTAATATATTCATTGTTTCTGCTCTCTCCCTCTCTCTTCCCCTACACTTAAAAATCAATGAAAAAAGTTTTTTTCAGTAACCAATTCTGGGGATTAGGATGTAGACATTATCTGGGGAAGGACATTATGCAGCTCCCAGACACTCACAAAATTTACCTATTGTATTAATTTGTATGTCTCCTTCTCCAATACCATAAGAGTTTACTGAAGGCAGTACTATCAATATAGCTTATGACCTTTGTGTCTCAATGCTTTGCTCAGAGCTTGGCATGGAGTGGGACCTCAGTAAATTTTAGCAGTTTTATGGAGGTATAATTGATATACAAAAAAAAAACCATACATATTTAATGTATACAATTTCACAAGTTGCCCTAGAGATTCTATTTCTCTCAGGCTGTTTCTCCTTCTGAAAGCCGAGGGGACAATGTACACCAACTACAATGGCCAACGCTTTAAGCACTTGGAAAGGATGAATTCAAGAGCACAGCACAGTGTTTAGAAAAGTGGAAGAGCACTGTCTGAGAGGACTTGGAGCGTCGCCCCCTACGTAGTAAGTAGCCTTTTCCCGAGATTTCCTTTTCGTCTTATAAGGGAAGAAAACCAAGTCTGGAGATGACTAATCCCACAAGCTAATCTCTCCCCTCGTGTGCGCTGCACTGGCTCTCCTCCTAACGGGGCATGTTGGAATCCTGTGTTCCCATTTCCTCATCACGTGCATTCTTCCCTGGAGACCAGATGGTGAAGACCAAGGCGGCGGTGTTTCCCAGGAGCTGCCCAGGACCAGTCCTCAGATGTCCTTGATCCCTTGCTCCACCTTGGGCTTTGTGAGGACCGCTGTGCTGTCCATCTCCCTTTCCTCAGACATACAACTGGAATAAAAATTCCGCTCTCTGGGAAGGAGGGGTCAAGTGAAGATTAATTACCTGTGTTTTCCTCAAGTTCTTCCCATTGACATTTCAGCACTCTCTACAGTCATTAATTGGAGCAATGCTTTCAGACATCACTTCTATCTCACAGCCACACAATTCCTAATGGAAATGGATGTGCAGGACTCTGGTAAGTTGACAAATCACTACAGTGTTTAGGACTCACATCGCATTCCCTAAGCTTTACATTTTTAAAAAGTCACAGAAACCTTTGCCAAGTATATTGGGTGCTTTCCATTGTGTCACATTACGAACATAAAAAAAATGTGTTCATTTCCTTCTCCCTGTTTTCCTCTCTCCTTTTGTTGATATCCCTTTTTGAGTGTCCCTGGGTTTCACACTTTCTCACTCTGATTTCTCCAAAAATTTAGGTAACGTGTGGAAATGAAAGTTTCCCTGAGTGCTGTCATGTAACAAAGTTAGCCACCTTGCAGCCCTGCAGGGAAATGCCGCTCTCCTGAACCCAACTGTCATCACACTCATTAGCGTCCCCCTCCCCTTGCCTCTTTGGCATTGGGTTTCTAACAAGTTACAGTGTTTTCTCTCTCCTCTCCGGTCCCTTGTTTTGGGGTTTTGTTCTCTCCTTCCTCATTTCTGTCTTGTTTGCTGCATCTTGGAAGCATGGGCTGCCCCTGCTGCCACCACTGCCATCTTTCCCCAGCAGACAGAAGGGCTAACATGTCACAAGACACGCGGGTCGCCTCCAACAAACGTGCTTATCAGCTCTGGAAGGGAATAAGTATGATAGGGGCACAATCATTACAGTGTGCAGTGGTCAACTACAGCAATCCAGCAGCAGTTGGGGGCAGGGAGGGAGGGATCCAAAGAGAACAGAAGCTGCCTGGGCAGGAACCCCTGGGGGGAGGTGGAGGGAGCTGCTCCAGCAGCAACCATCAATTCTGTGGGCTGGTTTTGTTCTGCTTTGTGAGGTCTGAACTGAGGCTCAGCTGATGGAGCAGGGGTGTGTGTAGGAGGTGAATAAGGGATTTTACCCAAACCAGTGACTCTGAATGGAGGTCTTGGGCCCAACTGAGGAGGCCTAGGCAGTAGGAGCTTGAAAAGAGGGTCTTTGGACTATTGGGGTGG